AAAAGCTCACCGAGAAAGTTTGCCGATGCGAGAATCGGGGATTCAAGCACGGGTGGGTTAAGGCCCTCCGTGCCGCAGAGGCTCTCCAGGCAGCAGGCATTGACTCGGCGTTGCCGTTATACCAGAGTAACGATTTACCTTTTGCGGCTTATGAAGTCGAAGAGAGCGACGACGAAGGTAACGCCGAATAAAGATGAATCTATTGTAGCGTTTTTAACGCAAGTTGAATGAAAATTATGTAATCTCGATCAATTTAATAAAACGTATCATTTTAAATGCTAGAATGTTGTTTTTGCTACCTACCATTTTTCTCCTATTGCGTCTATGTTGTAATCTCAATCCATTTTTTGTTAATCATAATACAAATGAAAGAAACGCCGAGTTTCGAGGCGTCTTGTCTCGGCCAATCGAGATTTCTACGAAGGACGCTCCGAATTCGGAGACTTATTCGGCCCAAGCATGTCTTGCACGGATAGGGCTCCGAATCCGGAGGCTTATCTCTTGGCCTATCGTCATATCCACGAAGGGTGCTCCAAATTCGGATACTTATTCGGCCTAAGCGTGTCTTGCACGGATAGGGCTCCAAATCTAGAGGCTTATCTTTTGGCCTATCGTGGTATCCACGAAGGGCGCTCCGAATTCGGAGACTTATTCGGCCCAAGCGTGTCTTGCACGGATGGGGCTTCGAATCCGGAGGCTTATCTCTTGGCCTATCGTGATATGCATGAAGGGCGCTCCGAATCCGGAGACTTGTTTTGGCCAATTGTGATATTCACGAAGGGCGCTCTGAATCCGGAGAGTTGTTCGGCCCAAAAATGTCATTCACTGATGGGGCTCTGAATCCGAAGACTTATCTCTTGGCCTATCGTGATATCCACAAAGGGCGCTCCGAGTCCGGAGACTTTTTCGGCCCAAAAGTGTTATTCACTGATGGGGCTCCAAATCCAGAGACTTATATCTTGGCCAATCGTGATATCCACGATGGGAGCTCTGAATTCGGAGACTTAGCCCAAGCGTGTCTTGCACAGATGGGGCTCCGAATCTGGAGGCTTATAACTTGATGAACTGAATTTCACAGTGCGGAAATAGGAGACTTTGCATTGCAAAAATGAAATTTGTACACGATGAACATTCAAAACAATTATCAAGCCCCACAAGTCGGGTTAATGATAGAATTTACGCAAATGCGTGGAATTCCAAGGGCGTCGCAGACTCCTCCCAGACAGGTCTTTGAGCTGATATGCCCCTGTGCCGGCGATTGACTCAATCTGATAGGGGCCGTCCCAGTTGGGACCTAGCTTTCCATCGGTGAGGTTCTTAGTAACGGGAAAAACTTTCTTCAGGACTAGTTCTCTGGGTATATAACGTCGCAGATGAACACGTTGATTGTATGATTTAGCAAGCTGCTGCTGATACCGTGCCATAGACGGGAGGGCTCTGTCTCGCCGTTCTTCAATCAGAGTTAGATCCAAAGCTAGCATCATGTCGTTACGGCCCAAGTCAAAGACCTTCGTGTTCAGAGTGGGTAGGCCGACCTCCAGGGGGATAATTGCCTGGGTCCCAAAGCACAAGGCGAATGGCGTTTCTCTAGTTGATCGCCTTGGTGTAGTGTGATAAGCCCATAATACACAGGAGAGCTCTTCAACCCACTTTCCTTTAGCTTTCTCCAACCGTTTCTTGATGTCGTCCAAAATGGCTTTGTTGGAGGCTTCAGTTTGACCGTTGCTTTGTGGATAAACCGGGGTGGAGAAATAGGGCCGAATACCATACTTGTTGCACAATTCTCGGTAGACGCCGCAATCAAACTGAGTGTCGTTGTCTGAAATAAGAGCTCTTGGAATGCCAAATCGCCGAATTGTGTTATGATATTTCTCTATACAAAACGCTTCACATCATTATCTTGAATGTGCGTTAGTACCTCATCTTTGACCCATTTCATGAAGTAATCTGTCGCGACAATCAAAAATCGCTTGTTGCCCAGGGCACGAGGAAATGGTCCGATGATGTCAAGTCCCCATTGGGCGAACAACCAAGGACTGGTTATGGAGCTTAACTCTTCAACAGGTAAATGGGTCAAAGGGGAGAACTTCTAGCACTGTTCACATTTCTTAACGTAACACTCGGCATCAGCTCTTATTGTCGACCAATAATACCCCTGTGTCACAGCTCGATGAGCCAAAGAGCGTCCGCCAGAATGGGCACTACAACTATCTTCATGTATTTCAATCAGGAGTTCCTCGACTTTATCCAGATGAACGCATTCTAGGTATGGACCATAAAGGGATTTCTTGTAGAGCTTTCCTTGCGGATCCAAGTAATATCGCAAGGTTTTATTTCGCAACTTGTGTGCTTCTTTCTTATCCGTCGGGAGCTGTTCGGAAGATAGGAATGCAGCGATAGGGTCCATCCAACTCGGCCCTGATTCTATAACATTGATCTGGACTGACTCCGAAAGGCCGATGCTTGGTTTAGGGATGAACCCTACTTCAATTGTTCGTTTAAACTTTGAGTTGATGGCAGAGGCTAGGCAAGCCAGGGTGTCTGCATGTGTGTTTTGATCTCAGGTTATTTGGTTCAATTCATGATGGTCAAATTTTCCCAGTAAGAAACTCGCCGTTTTCATCTAAGCTGCCATATGGTCGTTTTTGGCCGCGTATTCCCCCTTTAACTAATTGATGACTAACTTTGAGTCACAAAAGATAAGTAGACGTCGAGCACCCAAGAGGTGTGCATTCCGTAAGCCGGTTAGCAGTGCTTCATATTCGGCCTCGTTGTTTGATGCTTCAAAGTCAAGTTTGACTACTTGCTCGATTATTGCCCCGTCGGGAGCCATGATCACTACACCCGCCCCACTGCCACGTTGGTTGGATGATCCATCACAGTACAACTGCAAATGTCCCCCACATAAATTCTCCAATTCGGCTTAGGTTGAATTTGATCAGACTTATAGTCGGCGAGGCATCTAGTGAATTCGGACACAAAGTTGGCAAGCACTTGCCCCTTGATTGAGGTTCTGGGCAGAAATTAAATATCATACTGGCCGAGTTCCTGAGCCCGTTTTGAAATGCGCCCTGATGCTTCTGCACAACGGAGTATTGACCGGAGGGGGTAGTCCGTGAGTTCCCCAATGGTATGCCCCTGAAAATAATGCATCAGTTTTCTTGCAGCCATGACGAGAGCAAGAATGAGTTTCTCCAACGGAAGGTAACGTGTTTCGACATCGACCATTGCTTTGCTCACATAATAGACTAGCCGCTGTTCCCAAGTTCTTCCTTTATCAGTACGGTGCTGACAGCCCGGTCAGAAACTGCCAGATATAAAATGAACGGGTCACCTGCCGAAGGTGTTGTCAGGAGTGGAACTGATCGGAGGTAAGTCTTCAAACCGTTCAAAGTGGCTTCGCACTCGGAAGTCCATTCAAAAGCTTTATCCTGCCGAAGGGTATGAAAAAATTGTTGGCAGCGATCTGTGGAACGACTGATAAACCTGTTGAGTGCGACGGCCATCCCCATCAGCTTTTGAACCTCCTTGATCGGTCGAGGAGAGCCGAGTTCTAGGATTGTTGTGATTTGCCTCAGGTTGGCTTCGATTCCGCAGTGGTTAACAATGAAGCCAAGGAATTTTTCGGATCCGATCCCAAATGCACAGTTGGAGGCGTTCAGCTTCATTTTGTACTTGCATAGAATGCCGAATGTCTCTTTCAGATCAACTAGGTGAGTTTGCTCTTCTTTGGACTTGACCACCTGTAGACACACCATTTTTGACCGTCCTCAAGACTTGGATGTCATCGTTTGAACCAGCCTTACAACCCATCAGCCAAGCCTTGTGCTTATCGGCCGTGTTTTCTTGTCATCGGCTATCAGTGATGGTCGATCGACACTCTTTTTGGCCGATCGGCACTCTTTTTGGACTATCGGCCATATCTTTTGGCCAAGGCCTTTTTATTTGCTTTTGTAGATATTTTTTTGCCAGCTGTGACCGCTGGTGAGCACAGATTTCATCCTTCCATACACGTGTATGGAGGGATTGAATCAAGTCTCAAGCTTGCTCAACAAGCTTGAGATTTGATTTTCTATAAGAAGGGAGACCCCTCTCCCTTTCCAGAGGATCTGAAATTTGATATACAAGATATATATCACTCTCTCTCTATATTTCTTCCTCTCTCTCTTTATATTTGCACATGTTTGTGCTCAAAAGTGTAATTTCTTCACACTTTTGCACTAAAGCACTTACTCAAACACCATACTGTTGTTGCTGAGGTACTTGCACTGCTAGAAATCAGGGTTTTAGAGGTGTTCAGAAATTGCCGCTATAGGTCTTAAAAACGCCGTCAAATATTTTTGTGACGTTTAGTACCAAACGCCGAAGATGCGGCCGTCGCTATAACTCTATGGCTCTTTAGAAATGTCGCTATATTATTATAGATGGCGTTTTCTAAAAACGCCGCTAAAAGTTCTACTAATTGTAACATGACATCACTATGCTATTTAGCGACGTTTTTAAAACGCCGCCGTATCTCTTTTTCCCAAACAAAAATCCAACCGTTATACTATTTAGCGACGTTTTTAGAAACGCCGGGATAGCCCCTTTTTTTTTTAAATTTTAATTGTCCTAATTTTTTGTTATTGAACTAAAAAAATACCTATAATAAAACTGAAAAATAGCACTAATATAAAATAACTCTCATTCATATAGTAAAATCTTATCAAATGATAGTCCATAATCATTGTGCAAAAAAAAAAAAAAAAAATTCACACAAATCAAACGGTGTATGTCACACAATTTAAAGAGATTAATAATTCCAAAATTAATAGTTGTAAAATGTTAATCTTGTCTAATTTAATTTACTCAGTCAAACAAACATATTCTGAGGTCCTTAACGTTCAGTTTATTCAGAATGAATTATCATCCACACACACACATACATATATATATATATATGAGTAAAAAAGTTCACCAGCTAAACTCAGCTGAACTTAATAAATTTGTTCTAATTGATTTTCATTTTTAAGAAAGGGAAAACTTTAGTGCACAAGGGTCAGATTTATAGTTAGCATCTTGATGGCCCTTTACCTACATGCTCTTCAAATTGTTTCATATTTCTCACACCCTAGAAATCTTCATATGGTCGTTGGAGAGTTAAGAAGAAGTCAACAATGCAAATAAACTCTCTATTTCAAATACAAGAACCAACAAAAAAAAATTAAAAAAAGTCATAACAACTGATAGTAATATTAGTCCTCGGACTACCAAGTCACTAGCTAAAGTAGCAAACACCAGACTTTCTTGTTCATCAACATTCTTCTTTAGATCTGCCAATTTCACAACACTAACAAAAGCAATCTTGCATACCACCGCACATTCTGAATCAGGAGAACCACCAGGGACAAGCTGCATTATGCACAAAATGTTAGAATTGTAGAATACAAAATCAATAGGACTCAGCTTCTCAAACAAAATCAATAGGACATAGACACGATGCAAAAGAAATTTAGGGATTCAAACTGCTATTTTGGAAAAAAAATCATCACAAGATCTTGAACTTCCGTCACAACATAAAAGCAGAATCATAGTGCCTATGAAGCTTGCTGAAATAAGGAGCTTGTTTACTCCATCCCACTAATCTAGAGAAACGCAAGGAAATCAATATTCCAGCATGTATAGAAAACTGTTAGCAGCAATAAAACATATCGTACTAAATAATTCAACGCAATAGATAACTAACTAAATCAATAAAAGCAGTGCTAAAGACTACCCTAAATAAAAGTATAAAAGCAGATGACCGCTAGCCAGTAACTCATGAACAATGGCAACTTTAAAACTATAAAATGCTTGCATTTAAACTAACACCATTAGAATTGGAACAAATAGCATGCAATTTGTCATACCTGCTGTATAGGAAGATATTTCCTTTGATAATTGAATATTGCATCCTTCTCGTTTACATCAGCACTGCCATGGAATTGAAGTTCCACCTGGTCATCAATCTAGTAGAGTCAAATAAAAAGATCCATTCGGTTAGAGTGACAACATTTCTCTGATCCAATTTTACCATGTGAAGAGTGTGACTATAAAATAGACTTAAATTCCAAACCTGCATGTTTCCCAAGAAATCAAGGTGCATATACCTCTATTGGCAATCAAAACCATAACCCACGTCAAGGACAATAGAGGTAAACTCGCTTCCTCCTTCAAGAAAAATTTCAACGAGGACTTTGTCATCAATTCCCTGTTAAAAATCAAAGGAATGTGTAATTCATGAGGAGCAACATTAAAACTCTAAAGCATAGTTTTCCAGTCAAACAATTCTATAGCTCGAACCCTCAGATAGACTACTTTGCTGAGCTTATAATCCATTTACAAATATGTAATTTCAGAAGAAGAAAGAATTTTGGTGCCAAAGTACACACTGATGCTATTATATAATATTCATATGTGAATAGTCATCCCATATGCACTGTAAAAATACTCATGAAATATAGGAAAACCAAAAGAATTTTGAAAAAATTTAGGGACCATGTCATATACATTATAGAAGCAGTCACTTATAGTAATCACTATCCTCCACTACACACAAGTGGGCAAGAGATTCCAATTTAGCAAACCATGAAAGAAACCCAACACTCATGTTAAAAGGATTGTTTGCTGCTCATCAGCCTCAGCCTCAGCTTCATCTGAGAAGAGAAGAAGAAAAAGTGAGAAGAGAAGAAGAAGAAGTGATGGAAAAGAAAAGAAAGATGAGAGAGAGAGAGAGAGAGAGAGAGAGAGAGAGAGAGAGAGAGAGAGAATGGGGTGGGGGGGACCAAAGCATCAAATCCAAGCCAACTGTACACATCAAAGGCTGACCACATTGCACCCCAAACAATGTGCAGACAAGGATCTCAGACTCCCTTTGGTCTTGCTGCTTTTTAATTTCTTTAGAGCATTGTCACACTGTTTGATACTAGCAGCATCTACCTGCAGGTTCCCTATCATAGTTTCTCGTACACTATTGCCCCTCTCTACATTGGTATTTCTTTATATATATATATATATTCTTTTTAATGACGAGAAACTTCTTTAAAACAGTTAAATTGGATTCATTTCTACATAATAAATTTTGAATACCTATAATCATTTGCAAACTACGGACATCAATTAAATCCAAGAAACCTCTATAAGACAGCGCCAAATTGGATCCAACTCTGCATGGTAAACTCCGAATACCTACAATCACTGTAAATCACAGTAAGTCACAAATATCAGTTAAGCTCAATAACTGCTATCAATAGTCAAACTTAAAATATCTCAATTTACAGTTTATTCCAGAGTTTAATCCCTTTGCCACTTGGATAACTATGACTTTTCAACCAGCTAGACTCAAATGAGGTATTTAAAAAAAAATGATAAGAAATAAGGCTTATATTCTCTTTAATCACATTGTTTATGCTTATTTTTAAATGCATTGTTTATTCATATATATAGTATCATGTTTCTTTTGTCCCAAAGCCCAAGAGAATGTATTGTTTTCCCCACATGCCCTCTATTGCTCTCTCAGTCCTGACAATCAGAAAATAAAGGGGAAAAAACAGAGAGAACCCAAAATAGTGATGGATCTTGTCGGTTATTTACTAAAAACACACAGAGATGAACATTCCAGATTCCAGTAAAGTAAGCAACAAAATGGAGGAAAAGTCATTCCCAATCTCTCTACAACAATTGCAGCAGTCCAAAGATTAGCATCCACTGCAATCTCAATTTTTCGTAGAACAAAATTTTCATACAGTAAAATTATGCAAAACCCAAATGGAATTAGCTTGTATACATCATAAAAACTTCCACAAAGATAAGACAAACTTGTTTTGGATTACGAACAAGCTGCATTGCAGCATTGTCAACATACATGTGGGAGAGTTCAACATGAGGATATCGCCAATACTCTGCCTCCAAAGCATTGATGCTTGGTCAATATCACAAAATAAAGGAACTTAAAAAATATGGGACAATAGTTCAAATTTTATCCTCATTTATTTACCAGTATTATTTACTTTCTAGAGAAGGGAAGATGATCTTTAGAATTTATGCACAAGTTGCATTAAACAACATGAAAAGGTATATTTATAGAGCCTCTAAATCAGTGGGCACAAGTTGCATTAAATAAACCATATTTTTCTTTTTTCTGTGTGGTTTGAGTACATCGCAACAAAATTTTACTTTTAAGAGAAAAGATGATGCAAGATGAGAGTTTCCTAAATCAGTGGGCACAAGTTGCATTAAATAAACATTTGCTTTATCAACAGAATAGAGTTTCCTACCCCGCTTCCAAATAGTCTCAAATGCAACACGAGCAATACGATCAATCTGTCAAGAAATATTTTTCACATCAAATAAAAGATTATGAACATCAAAAAAAACATGAAGGTTAATCCCAATTAAGAAATATTTAACTTTTAAGAAATATATATATATATATATTTGAACTACGGAGTGTTAATCCCAATTACCTGGGTTTTACGACATGGATCTGTCTAGTGCAGTAGGCTCTATGTAAAGGTGTATCCTTGGTTAAGTCCAAGGCCATCATGTTGTCTCTTGTACATCAACCCATATTTATTTATTTTTATTATTTTGGCAGTCCTCTTGTCCGCATGACACTTTGGACTCAGATTAGGCAATTCAAGTCCCACCTCTTTATTCGTATATTAGTGTCTTTAAGTTGTTTATTTTTATTTTTATTTTTATGTTTTTTGGGTCTAATTGATGGCAATTCCATAACTTGCTCTTTTCCTGCTCATCGAATCCCTAAAGGTCATGCTTGTTTGTGGTTCTGATCTGAGCAAGTAAGTTCTTGTTGCATAAAATTTGATGTTATGATAGCTACTATTTTGCTACCATTTAGATGGCATGCCCTTTTACTGTGCTACTACACTTTTCAGTGAGGGACAGTAATGCCATAAAACTAAACCCCATGCTACGCCAATGTTAGCAATTAGATATTGAAGTAACGCTCTACAATGTATCTATATCACATATGAGCTTTGGATAATTTGCTTTCGAGAAAGTAATCAATGGCAATATGAACACACAAGTAATAGACATATAACCCACAGAGGAGAGCACATGATTTCCTTCATATGAAAAGATCAAGTGATAGTGGAATGTTTGAGCCTCTTAATTTCTTCCTCACCTTTTGCTTTCATTAATTTCTTTGTCGGTGAAGAACAACTTGGGTGGTGGTTGTCCATCCATCACATGGGCAGACCCCACACACCAAGCAATAAACACCACATATAGCTCAAACCCAAACCCAAGAAATCCTAATGTAACAATTATATTTTATTGCCTTGACATAGCAATCTCAAAAATCTAGCAAACTGTTCTTAATCATATTCTATACATTTTCTTTATCTATACCAAGATTTATTGCAGCCAGAACAACTACTTGGTGTGAATCAAAAGGTGAAGTTGTGTCAATGTTTTCTCTAATCCCAAATTGCCCTTAGAAACTACTTTTATTTCTCAATTCTCAACATCTCTCAAATGCTTCAATTTCTAATATTTTAAATTCAAACACCCCGATCAAAATAATTAAATTATATAATATATATACAGATCACTTCAGCAATCAGCATCTACAAAATTAAAATTGAAGCAAAAAATTAGGGAAAAAGCTCTAATTCTCAATTTTTTTCTAGTTTAAATATTTATAAACCGATACAACAGTGGTATTTCACTAATAATAATAAAAAAAAAAACTGTGAAGTCCAAATTGATGCAAACAATCCGAGTATAAAAAAAAACATTCCATACACATAACAATCAACATAATTCCCAATTCCCAGTTTTCCTTTCACTTTGTTTCACTTTCCTACTTTTTCTCACCAACCAAACACAAAACACAAAAATAATATAGCAAAAAATAGTAGCTAAAAAAGCAGTGCTAGCAGATACAACGGCACAGATACATAAAAGCAAAAAACCATCAGTAGAACAGAGCACAAGTACACCAGAGCACACAGACACAGAGGCACCAGATTAGCAAAATGCATCAGATTAGCAGATTAGCATAAAATATAACTCTAAATTTTCCATCATGTTTATATTAGCTTCATGTAGATGATTTCTATGAAATCTTGAAAATGAAACTTTCTATTTATGTAGCTTAATGTAGAGCGAGACAGAGAGAGAGAGAGAGTACCGACTAAAGTTCATTAACAAAGTAGACTATTCGCGGCCATTGGAGCTTGAAATGCGAGTAATCGAGGGGTTAGAGTTCAGATCTGTGCTTCTGGAAATCACCGAATCTCTGAATCTCTATCTGAACCTTCGATGGAGCTTAGATCTGAATCTTCGATGAGCTTCAAAATCGCTTCGATGGAGCTTCGAAATCACTTTGATGGAGCTTCAAATATCTGAATCTTCGATGGAGCTTCGAAATCGCTTCGAATATCTGAATCTTCGATGGAGTTAGAGAGGGTTGTGAGAGAGAGATGTGTGCGTATAAGGGTTGAAAGAGGGCTCAAATGTGTGCGTATAAGGATTGAGAGAGGGCTCAGATTCAAAATAAGGTTTCAAAACGCGCGTGTGGCTACCGAATTTGGAGGCATTTTTCAGCGCCTCCTATTATAAAATGGCGCCGTTTTGTTTAAAATAATATGCGGCGTTTTTCTAAACGCCGTTAAATATTAATAACGGTGACGTTTAAAAAAACGTCATTAAAAAAATGCCACCATAACCCTATTTTCCAGCAGTGTTGAGGGTTTTGTTTGAACTCAAAGTTTGGTTTTTAGCTCAGAAAGTTGCTAGAGTTGCCTCGTTGAAGTTGTTCTACAAGGGCGAGTCACTAACCCTCTTTTAAGCTTTGTGTTCATTACTTACTTAGCCTTATTTGCATGCTTATTTTGGCTTAACTCTCAACTGTAAAAAGCTTCATTTTCATGTGTTTGAAATGATTGTTTAAGGTCTTGTTGGCGTTGGGGGTGGTCTACCCCCTTCTGTGCCTTGTTTTGCCTTGTTTTGGGCCACCTCTTTAGGTTTTTGTTTTAGTCTTTGCATGACCTTTCTACCACTGAATTCCAAAGGAATTTCAGTGGTGGAAAGTGCATTTTGAGGTCTTAAATAGGAGGGGGTCCCCTCTCTTTGTGTCTAGCATGCTTGTATAGATGGCTCATCAAAGTAGCATGTTTGTCTAACATGTATTGGTTCCATTTCAGTATGTTTTTGGTATTATTATAGCATGCCTCAACTCTGTTTTAGGTTGGTTTGGTAGCATCTTGCATGCTTTACATACTTGTAGTATAATCTTGCAATCTAGCCTAACATGCATCATGTGTTTGGACCTCCATTCTAGCATGTTTTGGCTTAACTTTAACAAGCTTTTGGTCATGTTTCAGTATGCTCTAGCTCTGTTTTAAGTGTTTTGGGTCATGCATGCATTGTTTTGTATAGCCATGGTTCAATCTAGCTCACTAGCTTTGAGTTTCCAAGCCACTAGCATGCATTGCTTGGGCTATTCACATGATTTGGCATCATTTGATATGTGATTTCAATGCATGTAGTGTGGTCATGCCCTCGCATCTTTCACTCATTCAATGCATTGGAGGGTTTCTCTTTCCATGCTTTGGAAGGTTGGTTCTTTATGCCTTAAACATGTGTCATTGTGTATACCTTCATGCCTAAGCTTGCGAGCTATCATTTCAGTATGTTTTTGGGTTATTTTGCCATGATATAACTCTGATTTTTTTTGGTGAAGTCATCTCATGTTTGGTCTTGGTAGGTGT